TAGAATTAAAATAAAACATTTTTTAAAGAGAACTGCGTACTTAAAACAGCTCTCACTGCCTTTATTCCCCCGGCCTCACTGACACTTAACATGCAGGGACACCAGTTCTCTTCCTCAAACAGTCTCAATAAGAACACTCCCCCCCCACTCAGAAACCATCACCGGCTCCCCACGGCCCAGGAAATACAATTTCTATTCCTTCTACTGTTAACACTAGGTTGTCCGTGTCTGGGCATTAATACTTCCTTGCAAAGCACAGGACTGGACCCCCTCTCTACCTCGGCATCAAAATAGGGCTGGGATGGTCTTTTGCTGGTCGGTGGTCCTCTCGTAGCTTCTATTTTTGAAGCCGGCCCTCCATGGGATTCGGGAAGGCACTCTGTCTTATGACCTATACAACAATGCATGGACCGCTATTCTGGGCCAAGGAAGACCTGCATTCAGGTCCCACCTCTACCACCGACCAGCTGTGAGCCAGTGAATCTATTTCCAAATCCCTTTGATTCCTCGTCTCATAAAATGGGGGAAGATGATGAAGAGAATAATACTTCTGATTTCTTATGGTTGTTGTGGATTTAAAAGAGAGAATATGTAAAGCCCTTAGCTTAGGACCAGGTCCAGAGAAAGCAACCAATAGCTACAAGCTCTTTTCCTTGAGGCCAAAATGTATTTTTTGTGAACATATGCAGGAAAAATCTCAGTGGTAAAACAGTTAACGTTCCTGGGGAGCCAGACACTCACTCCCAACTGATTTAGATTAACGCCGATGTTGTTTCCCTTGTAGAGACAACAAGAAACTTCCTTTTCATTCCTCAGTCTAGTCTCCGGCTAATCCTGAAATTGCATGCAACCCAATGTGAGTCAAATAAAAAAGGAAAATAGTAATTATGCTGAATCAAACATTTTATATTTGTATGTTCTAACTAGAGATTGAGCTGCATAAGCCAGAACTTTTTATTAAGGTCTTTTTTTGAGCATGTCCAGGAAGTAGTTCCTATACTACTTGAGACGATATCTATGCTGACAGGTCCTGTGGCTCAGTTAGACCCTCTTTCTTAAATAAAACAAAGGGAACCAAACTGAGGATTCCAACAGAAGATCACAAGTTCTCTGCAAAATCCAACCCACCTACTTCAAGTGGGAAAGAGGAAATGCAAATCTTGAGGACATATGTTGTGTCTTACACGCAGTAAGCAACTCTACATCAAAAAGGATGCCTACCTCTCCAGCACACGCACTTTCTGCCACGTAACCCTAACATAGCTTGTCATTCCCCGAACCCTTGGAGGCATACATATGTGCATGTGTGTATGTGTGCAAGTGCATTGCTCATGAACATGAATGGGAACAGGAAAAAAAAAAACAGTATCACCACCATGGCACAAAGTTCTCCTTGGTATCCTTCAACGTCCCTCTGAAAGAGACCTATGGCAGGCTTAAGAACACCCCTAACCAACTGTCTCGTTCTTAAAGACCATTTTGGCAAAAATTAGATTAGTAATAAAATCCCAATGCCTGAGGAGGCTCCTGGCTGGCTCAGTCAGTAGAGCACGTGACCCTTGATCTCAGGGTCATGAGTTCGAGTCCCATGTTGGAGGTAAACATCACTTAAATACTTTTAAAAATTACAAATAAAATTAAATGCCAACGGTTGCCTCTCTCTAACCCTGTCTTTATGGAAGGGAGACACAATGAAAATGGTTAGATTTTTAAATTTACTAGTGAATTAGTACTACCGAACTGATAATCTGGCCCCAAATCCTTTCTCCGCTGGAAGTTTGTGGGTGCTCCTTACTCCTTATCTGTGCCACTCAGATGGTACTTCTCTCACTCCATGTCACATTCGGAGTCTGCACGTGTGGCTTGTCCCCCTACTACCTGGAAAGGTCCTAGCGCCGGAGGCCCCTCCAGCCCTTCTTGTTGCCTCCACAATGCCCAGCACAGAATGCTGCACGTAGTAGGTGCTCCAAAAAGATATGCCCATTGAAAGCTGAATAAATACCTATCCTTTGTGTTCAAGATTCCTTCTGAACTCCCCATTATTTGATAAGCTTGGGGGTCAAGCGGATAAGCAATGTGGGACCTCGCCTGGGTCCCAGAGCCCTGTTGGCATGATGTACTCCCTGATACCCTTGAGAGCACATCAAAATTATCTTAATTATGATCTCAAAAGACTGAGCCTCCTTAAAAACAGTATTCTTAAAGCCTGTTCAAAGCTCTAGAAGGCAAGTACAAGGCTGTCAGAAATAAAACCTTCAACTTGGGCTAAGCCTGGTGCTAGGCACCCAGGTGTTAGGACCCTTTGCCTAAAAAACCATCCTGAACTTTTTGCATAGGAAAAAAAAAATAGGTCATTCCCACCCCACCCCCCTCCACCAGCACCACCACCACACACACAAACCCCTGGCCAGGGAAAGTGCCTGGCAATTCATTCAGACATAGGTCAAACACGAGTCACTGTATGGACTATGCTCCCCAAAATGACCAAAATTATCTGAGCGTAGCTCAGGGAAGACAAGGCTCATGTATATGCATCTGGACAGGCCAGGGTGATGGTAAAGATTACCCCCTGTTTCTATACTGGCCGTCTAAAGGTATTTACTTGGGTCTGTCTGTGTTGTGACAGTGTCCTAGACTCAAATGAATGCCTCTAACACTCCACATTTTTGAGCCATTCAGTCATGCATTTTTGTTATTGTTGAAAGTGGTGCGAAATTGCACTGCATGAGCTAAAGTCCTTGGTGGTCTTCCAAGGATTCCAGCTAAAAAGGCACTTCCTTTGTTCCTCAGGAGAATGCAGTCCAGTAGGTCATTCAAAAGGGGAAATAAAAGCAGCAGCCCTGGGAGGGAGATGAAGGACAAGACAAAAAGAATAAAATGTTTTGGGTGTGAGCACATTAGCTTCCATTTCCTGCTGCTGGTCACTAATAACTCTCCCATCTTTGGAGGAAATATCCAGATAGACATATATGCAAAAATACAGCTCAGGTGTTTGCTGGCCACCGGGGCAATCGAAGGGAACACCTAGCAGAGTCCTTGAGCACCCTTCAAACTTCCTTTTTCCTGAGATGCTGACTGGGAAGGTGTCCTGCCATGAGGAGCCTGCCCAGAGCCAAGCTGGAGAAAGCAGGGAGGGCAATCTCACAACCCACTCCTTGAATGCCTCTAGTCCCTCTCAAAGGCACATATTGTTTGCAGGAGCAGAAGATGAAAACTTGTCACATTCCCATTAAGTGCATCGCTGCCTCTATCCCTTCAAAATGTGGGAATGACAACTGTAACCTTCACGCCAATCATCTCTGCTGGGCCCAGGCCCAAACCGTGCAGGGCACAAAGACCCCAGGTCTGACCTGTGGAGCCCCCAAGCTTCAGTGGCTGCTGGTTCACTTCACTTCTTCTGGCGGGGCAGGAGGGAGAGGGGAAAGAAAGAGGGCTTTTCAGGGCTCCACAACCAATAAAATCGTGCCGCTGTGAGGACATACTTGAGTTCGCAAAAAGACAAGCAGCTCAAGGGCAAACAGTCTCTAATCAGTCGTGTGAGAGTCATTTGCTAACTGCCAAGGTGCAGCGGGCTCCTAGGCTACTCCGGCAATTTCTTGAGTTCTATTTCTAGAGGGATGCTGAATACACTGGGAAAGTGCCCAGCGACTTCCCTCAATTACCTTTGTAATTTATATGTAATTGATGACTGCACTTAATCTCCAAGGTTATTAATAGCCCTTCCAAAAAATGACCCCCACGTCTTCCTAAGCCTCTGGAAGCGCCTGGTTAAAATTACAGTATTTCCTTTGCTGGCTGCCGGCCCCCTGCCCGCCCCACCCGGGTGACCAGCACCGCGAGGCAAAGGCGCACTCTCATTTCCATGAAAGGTTCGGAATGGAGGCCTGCCCCCCCGGGGGCTCAAACCGCTCTCTCCTCCGTTAGGTTACGCTGGCCAGACGCCAGCTAGATGCGTGGTTCCTTTCGAACCCTCAGGGCGAACGGGCTACCTGCGCCGCCGCCGGCTCCAGTGCGGCCCGCGGGGCTGCGCGCAACAGTTGCCCTCCGCGAATGAGAGACCGCGACCCGGAGGGGACCCGCGGCCGCCGCCGCCGCCTCGCAGGGAGGGGCGAAGGGCGCCCGCCGAAAAGCCGCCTCCCCGGCGCTCCGAGAAGGGCTTTCACCAATACCCCACGCACCCCCAGCGCCCAAATCCGGTGAACTTTTTCACAGGCTAAGGCTTCTCCATTTGCATAACCATCTCCAAACTGCGATTCAGGTTTCCTGTAGTCAGTCCTTTCAAAGGTTTGTAATTGAATGTGCAATTAACCCTGAAAATGAGGTGAGAAAAAAGAAAGGGGGGGGTGGAAGTACCCTTCCCGTCCAGCACCTTCCGCAAAGCAGGAGAGTTCCCAAAATTCAGGGTTTGGAGGGGTGGAGAGTCGTTTGCTTTTTAAAGGCGATTTCTAAAGCCGCTGTAGCTACTGAAACTCCTAATCCGCGTCAGTGGTAGAGGAGAGGCGGGGAGAGGGGTTTTAAAAGAACATCAATGAAACCTCCATTGGAGTTCCACGTTTGGCGTCCCGGGGAAGCTGGCACGCTGTAGGCTGCGCCACCCCCCCGACACACACACAAACACCCCACCGGCGACCCTCACCTCCTCCCGGCTTCTCGTCACCCGCACAACAAAGCGGGGAGCCCAGTAAGGAGTTCAACCCGGAACAGGCGACGGAGCCGGTGACACGCACTTTGCGGGCCAGAGTCCTCGGGACTCCCCGGGACCGTGAAGACGCGGTGGGGCGGGAGCAGATGCGGGATGGCAGACGGTCCGGCGGCGGGGCACCCCGCCTCGCAGTCCCGGGGGGCCGCGCTGCTCGGGGGCTCGCTCTCGCGCTCTCTCCCGCCTGCCCACAGCTTCCCCCCCACCGCCGCCCCAGGCTACCTGCGGCCGCGCGGGGGTTCCGCGGCCCCTTCCCCGGGGTGCCTGCCTCCGCGCACGCCTCCCGAGGGCCCCCACCTACCGTTGATCTCGTGCGTGGGGGCATCGTTCTTGTTGAAGCCTTTGGACACGTAAAGCCGTCGCACTTCCGAGCAACTTTTCGACTTGGGCTCGGCAGCCAGCAGCGCGGTGCAGAGCACGGCCAGGGCGCAGAGAAGCGCGGGCAAGCCGAACCGGGCCATGGTGCGGGCCGGGGCTGACGCGGTCCCACCTCTGGGAACCGGGGGAGAGTGGCGAGCGCGGGCCGAGCGGCGCGGGGCCGGGGGACTCGCGAGCGGAGCGAGAGGGCGAGGGAGTTGGGGTAGGAGTTGGGAGAGCAGCGGGAGGAGACGCGGGGCGAAAAGTGGAGCTGGGCCTCGCGCGTCAGGCAACGGTCCCCGGTGCCAGGCGCCCGGCGGGGGTGGAAGAGGCCGAGGGCGTGGAGGCGGTGCGCGGCCCACGGGAGCGGAGGTGCGGGCCGGTGGGCTCTGGGCTCCGCGGGGCGGCGGACGGGGCGCGCCGGCCGGCAGCGGGACAGGGGCGCGGGGAAGGAGGGGAAGGTGGCAGGCGCCGCCGGGGCCGCGGAGGGCGTGGGCGGCGGCGGGCGCTCGCGGCGCGCGGCTCGAGGTTGCCCGGCGCGGGTCCGCTCTCCTGGCTCGGCTCGGCTCCGCTCGGCTCACTCTGCCCTCGGCCGCGCGGCTGTGCCCTCCTCAGCTCCGCCGCTGATTGACTGGCCGGCGTGCGCGGCGACGCTCGGCAAACTTGGCCCAGCGGGCGGCACTCAGGGGGAGGGGGGCGGGCGGCGCGGGGGGGGGGGCGCCGGAGACGGGCGGGAGCACGCAGGGCCGGGACGGGAGAAAACCTGGAAGCGGGCTGGGATCCGGAGCGGCCAAATCCACTTCCTAGGGGGCCGCACCGGGCGCGCGGCGCTCCCTCGCGCGACACGCCCCGCGGGGCTCCTCCCTCCGCTCCTCCTCCCCTCCCCCGGGAGGCGGGAGATGCCCGCCGCCCCCTACCCGAAGAGGGAGGGCTAACTTCTCCCGGGTGAAGGGACGAAGTCCTGGGGGGACCGCGCGCCTGGGCACTTGTTCCGAAGCCCGCGGCCGAGTCACAGGCTATCTGAGCGCGGCCACCTGACTCGCTGACCGTGGGCCAAAGGCGGGGGAGCCCTCCCGCCTCGATACCTGCCCTCCCAGCCGCCCCGCAGCCCCGAGGACGCCCCTAACAGCTCCTGGGCCAGGAGCGGAAGGCGCTGGCATGACTCGCATTGTTTCGCTGCAGGCACAAGGGGACTTCGGACTCCCAGCTGGCACTAGACCTTCACCTGGCCCTCTCAGACCTGCTTCCCATCCAACGGTGCTCCATGAGCACCGACTTGTTCCGAACCCCGGCAGGCATTCTCCTCCCCCGCCTTCCCCCGGCCACGCCCGGTTCTGCTACAAGTCTAACCAAACCCTGAAGTGGGAGAGCCCTCCCCCCTCACCCCAGGATAGAGGCGTTGGGACATTCACGGATGACCTCTGAGACTTTGGAAACCTGGCCCAAATCCTCGTCGTAAACGTAGGGAAACTGAGGCGCAGAGAAAGGGAGCGACTTGCTAATAGCATGCAGCTGGGGTGTGGGTCCAGAACCCTGATTTACTCTCCCAGGTCACGTGGAGTATAGGTAGCCCAAGACCCCAAGCCCCTTCTGCCCTCCAGCCTCTTGAGAGAGACTCACAGCTCTCTGGGACCCAGTCTCCACTTAGCCACCAGAAAACTGGAAATGGGCGAGTCTTCCCACCTTCCCAGGTTTGTCAGATTCCATTAATGAGTGTTTTTGAAGCTCCCAGGGCTCCTTTAATGAAGGGAACTGTGCAGATTGGGAACTTGTCATTACCCTTGTTATTGTTACAATCTGCTTTAAGAGGTTAGGGTGAGAAGTGCCTCAGACACCTCGGGAGTGTGCTGGGAACTGGGCAGATAAAAGGGGCTGGAACTTATTATTTGGCTAGACTCTCAATTCCCATAAAATTACATAGGGGGAAGATATGAACCATCATTACAATTATCACCCTCATAGGGTTTGTTGAGACTTCGTCCACTGCTGTTTGTAAACCACGTTGACATGTTGGCTCTGTGGAGTTGTAGAAACTTAGGTCAGCTATTGTTTTGGATGCCCACTGCACACTCTTCTAGATTTTATTAACTCTTGGAGATCATCAAGGTAAACAGATCCGTGACCTATTAGTGAAACTTACAATTTCTGTGGGTGGGCAGAATATTTAACCCTACAACTAGCAGAGGATTTTTTCTAAATATGCAAACTCCCCTCCAGGTGAATTTCCTGCCATTTTCAAGAGACTTTCAATTAGTCTGCCTTTTTCTCAAACTGATACCATTCAGATTATCGCTAGGGCTTAGTCCAGCACTTTTAACTTTCACTGATTGATGCATTTACTGAAAGATGTTCTTTACCAAAGATGATACAATCTGAGATGCAGCCCACGGTAATAACAAAATGAAAACCAGTGACCGTAAGTGAAAAAAAAGATCCTCCCAAAAACCATGGAGCCCAAATCTGAAAGCTACTTTTCCCAAGTCCAGGGGGAACTCATTCCTTGCCCCTACTCCCGTGCCGCCCAATTTACTCCTGTTTTTCCTGCTCATGTATTATTAACCAAAACTTGAGTCTTTTCCACCAGAAACAGTAACCCCTGGCTAGAAACGGATCTGGACAAGTCTGAACTTTACCACACAAGACAGGAACCCCAAGCCCTGCTCAGAGGCGGCTCCCACTTCAAAGCCTCCTTTCATTTAAATACAAACAGGGTGAACAACTGGCAATCTACGAAACAAATACCATCCAGCTTCCCTTTTCAGATGGCCCCTTGCTCCTCCTTTCCTCCCCCCACCCCCACTCCAGCTTTTCTCTTAGGAAGAGGCTCTTTAGTGGAGATGCCTCTACTCTGTAAGTTATCTGAATGCCAAAAAAAAAAAATGGATTGGATACTGCGCTTAGAATATAAGAACCAACAGCTTCTCAAGGTGATTAACTCTCATATAGCACTTTTGGGGGAGCTTTTCTATTGTGGTAAAATACGCAAACCTAAGTTTTACCATTTTCACCATTTTTAAGTATACAACTCAGTGGCATTTAGCACACTCACAAAGGTGTGCCATCATCACCACCATGTAGCTCCAGAATGTTTTCATCATCCCAAAAGGAAACACCATACCCATTAAGGAAAGTCTATTCCCTTCTCCCCACCGCCCCCCCAGCCCACGGAAACCACTAATCTGCTGTATGGATCTATGGATTTGCCTATTCTGACGTTTGGTATAAATGGAGTCCTGCCATATGTGACCTGTGTCTGGCTTCTTTCCTTTAGCATCAGGTCTTCAAGACTCATCCATGTGGGAGCAGATATTAGGACTTCTTTCCTTTCTGTGGCTGGATGGTGTTCCATTTTATAGATACGCTACATTGGGTCATATAGTACTTTACCATTTGCAGAGTGCCTTCAGCTGCACTCCTCTATTAGAAAATTTTAGTGTGTGTGTGTGTGTGTGTGTGTGTGAGTTTTAATAGATTAGCAAGGGCGCCTGGGTGGCTCAGTTGGTTAAGCATCTGGACTGCCTTTGGCTCAGGCGATGATCTCAGGATCCTGGGATCAAGCCCCACATCGGGCTCCCTGCTCAGGCAGAAAGTCTGCTTCTCCCTCTCCCTCTGCCTCTCCCCCTGCTTGTGCTCTCTCTCACTTCCAAATAATAAATAAAATCTTTAAAAAAAAAAAATAGGGGCGCCTGGGTGGCTCAGTTGTTAAGCCTCTGCCTTCGGCTCAGGTCATGATTCCAAGGTCCTGGGATCAAGCATGGGGCTCCTTGCTCAGCTGGGAACCTGCTTCTCCCTCTCCCCTGCACTGCTCCTGTTCTCTTCCCCCCCCCTCCCTCCCTCATAAATAAATAAATAAAACCTTTAAGATAAAATAAAATACAAAGTAAAAATAAAAAAAAATAGATGAGCAAACGTTCTTGGCAAGATTACGTGGCTCATTCACAGCCACGGAAATCTTGAGTAGCTGAACAAAGACTGAAAATTTTAAGGCCTCTGACCAAATCCCATGGGTCTCATTTAGGGTCAGCTGTGAAAGTGTAACTACCCAGATCCCACAGTAGCGTCCCTATTTCAGACAATTAAATGTTCACTGAGCACCTACTATGTGCCAAATGCTGCCCATCCCTAGAGGGAGGGAAGACATACATACCACAAAGCGTTTACAGTCGAATGCACTGGGTCAGACCCACAAGCAAAGGCTCGCTTAGGTAGAATACATTTACAGTATACCTGCTTCTCCCAGGCAAGGCATTTCTCCTGATAAGGCACTGGGGTAGGCTCACCAGCGCGCAGAGAACAACGTATGCACTGCCTGCTGCGCTCCTCCAAGCCAAGAACGAGCTCAGTCAGGTCCACTCTCTCGGCTCTGGGGGTACATCTCCTGGCCTGCTGGGGAGCTAGATTGGTTGCCAAACACAGGGATGGCGAGTAGAACGTGACTTCCTTTCCTAGGCTTGGTGCTGTCCCATAGCCCTCTAGCCTCTCCCTTTACCCAATCCCTCTTTCCCCCAGCCATCAGAGCGAGCCTCTGACAACACCCCCGAACCCCTGAATGGTGCCCTCCGCTGCTGAGCCCTGCCCCTCCCCCCATGGTACCCCATCGATTTCCAGATCAATTCCCAAACAGTTCAGCACCAGCACCACCATGGGTTGTCCAAGCCCTCTCTCAGGTTTTCTTTTTTATTTGAATGCTTATTGCCTGCAGAGTACAGGTTCACCTGCCGGGCCAGTCTCCCACAGGAATAAAAGACCTAGAAATGTATTTGAAATCTCCTGATTTTTAAATGTTAGTGACCACTTAAGAAGTCATGAAAGTTTGCCAGATAAACTATGCCCTTCTTCAGCCTAGATTTCACCAAGTAACCTTCTCTCCACCCCCACCCCCCGCAACGCTGTGACTTTCCTTTTTAAGCAGCCAAGAGAGTAATACCTGCTGACCACTTGCTATGTGCCAAGGTGGGTTCTGAGAAGGCCCTAGGAAGCTGGAAGACCGGAGGCATTTCAAGAGCTGACTGTCTGATTGGGGAGGTGGGATCTATGTGTGCGTGCAGAGAGACAATGGTGAGGGTAACACAGGGCAATGCCTGTCCCCTGGGACCGTCATCCCAAGTCACTCCTTGTTCTATGGTTGTCAGCCTCCTCTTGGTCCCTTTGGAAATTTACAGAAGTACCAGTAATTGAAGGATCAGTCACTTGGAAAGAGTTGATGTGTGTAGTCTGTTCCTGGCTCCTAATTTCATACTTCCCTTCAGTTTCTCTAATACTTGAAGTCTGCCTTAGCTTTCCTTCTCCCTCAGAGAGCTCATCTGTGTTTACAACTTTAAACATAGGCAGCGGGTACCTAGCCACTTTACTTCCTGTTTGTGCCTATGGTCCCCACTGTGCTCTCTTTTTCTTCTGTAATCACCTGGACAATTCAAGTCTTCCTTTTCACTCCATGGCCATCAGGGTCTGTCCAGGTTCCATTATCTCTTGTCTGGACTGTAGAGCCAACCTCCTAACAGGTCCTCTGGCCTCTGGCCTCTCTCTCTCTCCATCCATCCACCCAGGGCTGTCACAAAATCAGCCTGATAGCATCATTTATAAGCTTCCCACTCCTTGCCTGAAAACTCTTCCGTGGGAAGCCAATCTCCTAATAATA